GAGCATTCTTTTCCCTTCAAAAATAGAGAAAACTATTTTCTTTTTGTGTGTGTATGTATGTATATATATATATATATATATATATATATATATATATATATATATATATACACACACACCTTTTTATATTTGAATTATTGTCCTCATCGTTGTTGTTTTTATCAATACATTTTGACCACTGTACCTTTGGCTTTCCTATTGATATGGGTCACCATTATTTAATCTATGGTGGTAGACTGTTCTCGTTTTAGAGATATTAACTTAGTTTTTATTTTTATTTAGTACTGCTCAATTATTGCTTACCCATTTTTACTGATTGCAATTACACACTGCCCAATCCATGGATTTAACTCACAATAATATATATATATATATATATATATATATATATATATATATATGTGTGTGTGTGTGTGTATACAGATACACAAATAAATCGTAGTTATGTGCATCCATAAAGATTTCACGCTTAAATAATTACGCTCACATATTAATAGACATTTTCTTTTGTACATATTTACATAATAGACACATATATTTAGTTTAGTTGTATTATCAAATTGACTTTTAATTTTGATTTCCATTTTTATTGATTGTTCATATGAAATTTATTTTGATTTTCTTGGATGTACTGGGGTATTTGCTTTTCATTTTTTTTAATTTAAAAAAAATGATTTTCAATAATTTCTCACATTTTTCCAGTGGCCATGTCTTTTGCTCAAAGACAGTTCTTTAGATTTTCTTAACTTGTTTACCTGATGTTTTTTTCCTTCCACTTTACCTGACAGCTGACTTGGAGAGATTGCTATTAAAAATGTCCTACTGTTTATTTTCATAACTCCTTTTCAGAAGAGCTTCTTATTGCCCCTAGTTAAATAGATGAGAAGATGGGAGGAATGAGTTGGGATGGTAAACGGGGAGAAAATGTCTGATCACTATGAAAGAAGGCTATTCAAGAATTAGAGCAATATTGGTCTGTAGATGATTTGGGTCAGATTTTGTGCAGTATGCTAGTTTTTACTTATTTATTTTTGAGCAAAAGCTTAGTTTATTCATCCCTTCTCAATGATTTCTAAATGTAAACAGACAAAAGAGAAAACTCATGCAATGACAAATCAAAAACTGCAGAAGAACTCCTTAATATTTGTTTGTTATGTATAAAAACTTTTCTTTTGCTTTATATTACATCTATATAAATATTGAAATAGATGTGTTTGCATCTACTTATACACATACATACATACATACATACACACACACAAGTAGATGCTGAAAAAGTCTTGGTTGAACCAAGAAGCCTTTTTTTTTTTTTTTTTTTTAAATCTAATGCATGGTCATATTTTAAGAAACTGGCTTTGTTTTAGAAGTTTTGAACACCACTTGTATGTGCATATATATATATATAATTTCTGATAAAGCTAAAATATATATCTGCAAAAAGACAATATGAATAAAGACAAAAGTAAAACATATCTTAGCCAACACATTTTAACCCTAAAGGAATTTTATCAAAGTAAATGAAAGGATTTTGTTTTTTAATGAGTATTTTTGGAAAAAAAAAAAAAAACCTAAAAATGTTAGTTTTCCAATATTTTTAAATTTAAGAAACACTCATAAATATTCATCAGGTTAACTGAAAAGTAAGGAGGATGGTAAGTGACATAATTTAATGTCTAATAAATGAAAGTGATTAAATAATGTTGTTGAATATTTTTATACAATTAATATTTAAATTTTCTTAGTTTGGGATTAATTTATGTATTATAGATTTTAAGTAAGAGAAATGTATGAATTTAACTGTTTTCATATAATTTTTAACATTTTTATTCAGAAAGGAGTAATTCTTTCAGCATTGGCTCAGATAAGTTTTCATTTTTGTCTTTTTATATATATATATAAAATTAAGTGTATTTAGGCAGCAAATATTTGTGCAAATAAGTTTTCCAAAAATTCAACTAAGGAATCTTGTCTGTTTAGTTCTTTAATGCATATTTTTCTAATTTTGAAATCAGATGTTGTATATCAGGATCAAAATTGTGACTAAACTGTCCAAAATCCATGTTTGTCAGGGTTTTTTTTGTTCAATTACTATCTGCCATCACAGTCATTAGCAAGAACTATGTGTTTTCAATGTTTGCCGTTGTCTCACTCTCTTTAACCGTTACATGTGATGCCACTTTGGACTGTTTCAAACTTTTCAGCTATTATAGAATACCAGGGTGTAACCAACTGAGACTTTCCTACAACACTGACAGCACATGGTTCTTTCTAATGACTGAGATGCTGAAAAGTACTTGAATAAAAACAAAAGAACAAACATGAAATTTTGACAAGTTTATCCACAATTTCAATCTTTATATACAATATCTTATTCAAATATAGAAAAGATCAATTTAAAAGTTGACTTTAATGAAGATTTTTTTTTATATGTATATATATATATATATATATATATATATATATATTCTATCTATAAAATGTGTGGGTGTAACGAATGCACGGCCACAATTTTCGACGGATGTGCACCAAAATTTACATGCACATGGTGGAAATAATCGATTTTTTTCATGCTTCTATGGTAGTTTTCATGTAGTTTGCAGCCATTTTCTACTGGCCAGAGTGAGAGCCTATAGCTGGCTGCCACAAATAGGCAGGAAGATTCTATTGGCCAGCATGAGAGCCAACAGCTGACTGACACGAATGTTAACTAGCATGCAAAAAAAAAAATCGATAGCTGCATTCGTCACAAGTGGGAAAAATTTAAATCTGCATGGCACTTTACTCCAATTGGCTCATTCGCTTGCTTAAACTCAGTGTTGATTCTGATTCCACAGAACTGGGTTGGTGTGAAAAAAATTATTTGTTGTTAACATTCTTTTTCATACTGTTTTCCAGTTACAAGTCCTTTTTAAAGCTGATCGTTTTGTGTTCATTTTGTTTAGTTCTTTTTTCGTAACAGATTTAATGTTTAGTATAGAGCTTAGAAAAAATTCGCAGTGTGAGATAGGCAAGAAGTAAGGCATGTAGCAACATCAGTACGGCAAAGGGCACTCATTTAAAGGCAAGGAAGAGCAAAAATATTTTAAGTCAAGTGATAGCGATTGCTGTATGAGTTGTACGATTTTTGAATCAAGCACGGGCAGCGCTGCTAGTATATATATATATATATATATATATATATATATATATAATTCAGAGTATTAAAGCATTGGGTCATGATTATGGTGACATCGTAATTGCGTGTTAAGTTCCTGGTCAATGGAAATAGGGTGGGTAATAACTGAGCAGAAGTGAAAAAGAGAACAAGATGAGATATTCTTTGACCTGAGCAGCAAAAGAACAATCTATATCTGTAGATTAAATAAATTGAGTTTGAAATCCTGTAAAGGATACTCAGATTAATAGACATCTGAAGAAAATGGAGGCTATAGTGGCCAAAAAATTGTGATAATTACAGTGAAGATGAGGATAGGATAGATGACTCCACATTTCAGAAATTTCAGCAGAGACCATTAAAATAATTCATGCTAATTCAACTAATGACGGTATGAAAATTGTAAAATAAATAATAGACTGGAAGTGTACATCCAGGTGATTTCAGATTAAGATCAGAATAATCATCTGAAAAACTTGTCAAATAATGACATGGATTGTACTTAAAATTTCATATAATATTTACCTCAGATTTTGTTATCATATTTATAAATATTGAATTTGATTCAGTGAATATTAGCACAGATTCAAAAAGTTCTACATTGTCTGCTTGTTGAAAAATTGGAAAGTTAATCACCTGTCAGTTTCTACCTATCCTTTCACAGAACAATTGTAAAACAATCTTTTCTTTTATTTTATTTTTTCTAGATAATCTATGAACAGACTTGCTTATGCTTGAACACGCTTTGCTATATCTTTGGATTTATTTCGTTGTTCTCACTTAGCATCATTTGCTTCTCTCCATTTCATTCTCTTTCTGTCTGCAACTTCGTAAAGAATGTGTGCTTGCATGAATTTATGCTGAGAAATTAATTTCTCCTCAATCTCTGTGAAATTTGTAGTCGATAATATTCAGCACGTGATTGATCAACTCTGAACATATTTGAAGAGAATGAAATTGGAAAAATCGTTCTGTTGGAAATGAAAATTCACGCTGTATTTCTGTTTTTCATTTTTTTGCATTTCTTCATTTTTCACCCCATTTTTTCTGCTTCTTTTTAATTTTAATGATCGAAAGGAATCAACAGAAAAACAGAAATAATAACAAAAAATATTCTTATTTTTTTTTTAATTTTTTGAACATTAACTGATTTCAGTGCAATGATTATCAGTGTTCTCACTTTTTTTTTTATTAACATTTCTACCCTCAACAATTCCATTCTGTAGAAAGTTAAATCTTTTAATTAAATATAACCCTTTGAATCTTAGTGGCTTTATTGCCTTGCTACATATTTTCTTTTGGCATGAATTAAGACAAAGAAACTTTAATTATATTTATTGATTTGTTTTATGGTTCTACTGATTTAACGTTTTTCTTCCTTTCTTTTTCCTACCCTCACCAAAAAACTGATTGCATGATATAAAAGTGAATTTTATATTGTACCATTTACTGAAATACAAACCTTGAGTGTTGCTGTCTTATATTCTTGTCTTGCATTACATGTCTTTTGTTAATTACCATCATTTGCATCAAAAGAGTTAGCAAGTCTTCCAGTGGACCCTCAGTGTTCAGTAAACATTTACAATACAGCTAATTATAATCATTTCATTCAATTTAATGAATTATTTGAACAGAAGAAGAAAGGATTTCATTTTCTGATATTCAATATCAACTTGAAAATGATAAAATAGTTTTTGTACCGTTTGTGGACTGTTTATCATTTTATTAAATTACTTGAGGAAATGGCTGTATTATATTTGGTGAGGCAGGCTTATTTTGCTTGTCACTTGTGGAAGAAAGAGGGATTGAAAAGAAAGAAGGAAAGAAAGAAAATGGTAAAAAGAGATTAAGAAAAAAAATGATGGAATGCGATGAGCAAAAGAAAGAATGAAATGATAGAAAGAATGGAATAGTGAAAAGGGAGGAAGAAAAACTTGAGAGTGAAAGATAAGAAAGAAAGAAATAGTGGGAAGTGAAGGAAAATGAAAGAGGGAAATGGTAGAAAAAGGGGAAGAAAGAGAGAAATGAAAGAGAAAAGAGAAAGAGAAATTGTGAAACGAGAAAGAGGAAAAAGAGGAATAAAAATTAGATGAAAGAGGTAAGAAAAAAGTTTGAATTCAGAAGAAGATGAAGGAAAATTGAAATGAAAAAAGGGAAGAGAGTAAATTTGAAGTTTGGATAGGTAATTGTCAATAAAAAAAAAGAAAGACTAAAACATAAAGAAGAAAAAAGAAAAGAAGGAGGGAGGTGAAAAAGAAGAAAAAGTTCAAATAATAAATAAATGCTGAAAAAGAAATAGAATAAAAAATGAACAAGTGAAGGAAAATGGAAGGTTCATGCAGTGTGTCCCTCTTTTATTGATCTATTTGAAAATCCCCACTCATAACTGTCAACTGAAATTGATTCCTGAAAGTGGGTGGAGTATCTATTTATAATGTTTATTGTATGTGTAGAGCACCTGACCAATTCCCTCTATAGATTTGGGTTGAAAGTTAGGGAGACAAGTCTTATACAAGTAGACCAGGTAGCGTCCATCCCTCTCTGAAACCATAGTCAATGTCCTCTAACTTGAAGGCTTGCTTTGGTTACAGACATGTGGCTGTTGATTGCTTCAAGGGAACCCTCTACCCAGGCCATTTTCAGTCTTAGAAGCCCTTCACCGGTGATGCAGTATCTTCACTGCATTGCCTGGATGCATAGATATCGAGTTGTGTCTGTACCATTAAATGCTAAATAACCATTGACCTACAAGAAGATTTATCTGCCCTATTTATGATAAAGTCTAATTTGCAAATTAGGGACAATCAGAGATTAAGTACAATAACTCACAATAAAATAGAAATCTTTGAATAAAATTTTAGAATTCAACAAAGGATTTTCTTTTTCTTTATTAAATTAAAAACTTCCACCTTTTCATTAACCCTTCTTTAGTCATCTTATATTTCTGAAAATTGATAGTCCTTTGTGGTATCTAGACACCCCAATACAAAAAGGCTTATAGTGTTGGAATTGTGTAAAATATTCTCATAGTTGGACTGATAGACCCATCCACATTCTTGCAATGTGGTTCAGGCATGGGCTTCCAGCTGAAGAAGAATTGGTCAGAACTACAAGCAAAGGTTGGAGCAGTGATCTGGACTTGGCTTTGAAGGCAGTTGTCTATGAAGGGTGCTGCTGAGGCATGCATCACGTACATCTTTCCTTTCATCCTTTATTGCTTGTCTGTACATTGTCTCTTTCTGCAAGAACTTTAAGAAGGCACTTGAATGCATGCTATCATTCCTCTTGTTGGGTGGCCTCCAGTATCAGGTCTGCAGAATGGTCTATGCCCAGCATCCATGTCATGACACACTTGGCAAGTCATTGACACTCCTTGAGATTGGATTTCCTAAGCTGTGCAAAGAACTCTATCTTCTCTAGCCTTACCATCATTCCTTTTGTTTCTTATTGTAAGCCCTGGAATCAGTTGAGATTCCTCAGAGAGTGTTGAGCACCCTTGAATGTCATTCCAGTCCAGTGACCTTTCAAATCCTATGAGAGTCTTGTATTGGGAATTAGGGGTATGTGAAGGATCCTTTCTGTGGGTTACTTGGGTTACTTGGCTTGTTGGTGATTGAGTTGCACTTTTTCTGGTCTTGGGTACCAACAGCAGATTCCTTCAGCAACCCTGAGTTTTTGCTTACCTGGTGATTGATTACCATTATCCTCAGATGCACCCATTCTAGGAGTATGTCTGTGAGTTGACAGCTTGTATTGATCCCAAACATCTTGTATTCATTGATCTCACATATGCGTGTGATAATGTGTCGATCTCGTATTCTGGAGTGAAATGAATGGTGTTTTTAACATTGCTACCAGTGGCAAGATTAGTAGTGTGGATGTCGCAAATGGATGGAATCTTATGATACAAACACTATTCTCATCAGGTTGGATTCTTTGGGCTTCAGCTAGGATGAAGATTGGAACTGATAGAAAGTGTAGAAAAATCACGTGGTCAAGATAAACACTCAGTTGTGGAGCAAGCTAAGTGAATATTAATTCAACCTTGAGAAAGAGCTATTTATGGTGCCATGGAGCATCTCATTGTAGGATAGTCCATTGCTTGGGCTGTGATTGGCTGCTGGTACCCGAGTGGGGGTATTTCTATATAAATACCAGCTTGATTCATCAGTTAGTTTGCAGGGTTTGTATTAAGTTACAACCTGCTTTATTTTTGTCTGCCAGCTGGGTGCTAGCTGGGACCCTTATGCTGGTAAGTGCTGTTTATTATTGTTATTCTACATCTCCTTTCACCCCATCGTGTGTGGGTAGTGGCCTTTGGGGAGGGATGTGTTCCTTTAAACCTGGCTGGTTGTGTGGAAGTAGTCTGGACAATGCCTGAGGAGGTTTTGTCTGTGTTATTGTAGACAGCTGAGCAGTGTTTGATGTTATTCCAGCGTCGAATGTTTTTGGCACTGGTGTAGGGGTCTCGGGTAAGGCACTAGGTCTTGGAACTGGAATTGTTGGTGTATCCAGTTTCCTGAGGAATCGGCGATTTCGTAAGGTAATTCTACCTGATCCGTCAACTCTGATACGGTATTGGTGGTTGGGGAGGGTTTTAATGACCTGACCTGTTGTGTCCCATCGGCGGGTTGACGGCGGTTGTAGTGCCACTATTTGTCTTTTATGAAGGGGGTTTAATGTGTGTGCTGTTCTATCGTATCGCTCTATGAGATGAGCGTTCCGCCGAGACAGACTTATCTCGCGATTTTGGGCTGCAATTATCCAATTTGCATGTGGCTTATAGAGTGTCAGGTGGGATGGTATGTAGTCACGTAGTCGGTGGTGGAGTAGTAGTTGAGCAGGGGATAGCCCAATGTTTTGAATGGGCGTATTCCTGTATTGGAGGATGGCTTTTGCTGGACGATTATTGTTCAACGATCCTTGGGCTCCTGTGTTGCCATTTACAATTCTCTTGGCCGTTTTGACAGCAAGCTCTGCCCAACCATTAAATTGTGGGTAACCAGCAGATGATAACCTGTGTTTAACAGCCCAGTCTTGTAAAAATTGCTTGAATGTAAGGGATGTGAAGGTCGGCCCACCATCAGTGCTGAGTTCCTCGGGAGCACTGTAGGCTGGAAATATGTCTCGGCAAATTGAAATAATCCTTGACGCATTAGCTTCTCCGTGGCTCAAGTGGTATAGATTCAGCCAGCCTGTTAACCTGTCAGCACATGCTAAGTAACCATGGTTCCCAACATGGAAGATGTCCATGACGATTTGCTGAAATGGCCAATCAGGAGATGGTGTCAAATTGATTGGCTCTTTTGGTTGACTTGGGGCAATTTTTGAGCAGAACGTACAACCTTCTCTAATGTTACATATTGAGGCATTCATCCCGGGCCAATAAACAGATTCATTAGGACGTGCCTTCATGCAAACTTCGCCTTGGTATGCAGAATGTAGGCTATGTAAGACTTTTGCATGTTGAGAGGTGGGGATAACGATTCTTTGATCTAATAGCACTAATCCATCATCAACACTTAGGCAGTACATCACTTCCCAGTATTCGCGGATTTCGGGTGCAGTGAGGCTGCGCGTCCTTTGGAATCCATTTCGTATTACGTCAATTAATTTTTTGTATTGTGGGTTGCTGCGTACCGCCACACGGATAACGTCTGGTGAGATGAGCTCCAGGTTGTCATTTGCACCGAATGTTGCTAATAGGGTTGTTGATTTGACCCAGTCATCCATGTTGTCAGATTCTATGATGTCTGATTGAGAGGATTCAGCAGTGTATACGTTTAGGAGTGCCTGGAAGATTTCTGCTGGGTTACGAGAGACAGCATCGGAGGCTCTGTGCCATTTTCCAGGTCAGTGCTGAATGGTGAATCTGTACCTGAGGGTTTTCTCTTTAACCTGAATAATCGGGGGTTTTGGAATTTACTAAGGTGTCTATCTCCAAATAATCCTTTTAGTGGTTCATGATCTGTAACCACTATGAGATTCGGGCAACCCATTACAAAAATCCGACATTTTTCCAATGCCCAAGCAATTGCTGCTGCCTCGCGATCAATAGATGCATATCTGCGTTCAGCATCAATGCAGAATCTGCTACCAGCAAATATCAGGCGCCAACCTTCAGGACAGCAAACTGGGGCTTTGTCGGTGGTACATGAGCAATACTTCTGCAGAAGTAGGAAGCCCATTCCGTCTTTGCTCCAATCTGGGGCGAGGCCAGTTACTCGTTCTTTTTCAAATGTTGCAATGCCTTTTTGAACTAAGTCAACTATGACCTTCTTTGAATGCTGGAATGCATCCTCAAGGCTTTTATTCCATATAAAGTGTGAGTCTCATTTAACAAGATCATGAAATGGAAGCATGACTGGGCTCAGTGAGTATGCCTAAGCAACTTGGTTGACCAGACCAAACCATGATCTGGCATCGGTGAGTGTTTTTGGTATTGGGAAGCTTAATATCACCTCCAGCATGGATTTAGAAGGGGTTACACCAGAGGATGTTATCTGGAGGCCCCCAAACTGCACAGTGTCTTGGCAAATTGGAATTTTTCTCTATTGAGTACGATGCCGTTTTTTTTGCACAATGGAAGAGGAAATCGAAGGTGTGAAAAAGGCTCCTTCGATGTCAGAGTCGTAGAGTAAGGTGTCATCTATGATTTTTACTTTGTGGGGGATGTCTTTTATTACTTCATCATACCTTCGGGTGTAGGCATTGCCAGATGCTAGGTAACCTTGTGGCAACCTCAGGTACATGAATCTTCCCCATTCTGTGATGAAGGTGGTGAGTGGCTGGGACTCTTTATCTAAGGGGATGGAATGATATCCATGGATGCTAGCTGGGACCTTTATGCCAGTAAGTGCTGTTTATTGTATTGTTATTCTACAGAAAGTATTTGTTATCAACAGATTTCGGCAAAAGGTGGGTGAAAGTGGTGAGCTTGGTTAAGTGAATGGGTCTAGTCTTAATTTTATCTTTTAAGTCTCCTTTGATACAATAGGGTGGTTTCCTGATGAACCCTCCCTTTGTTAAGACTGTTTACGTAGTTAATGTAAGTGTTGTTCCCAGGGCTTCCTCTGTTCCCAGCATCCTCTTTTGTTAGAATCTATGTTGAGATTCCCAACCTTCCTACTTTATTTTTGTCTCCAATGTTTTTGATCTCGACTGGGTCAGTGTTTGGTTTTCCTAATCCATAATTTATTTTTATCCTTTCCTCTTATTAGTGAGCTTTTTGATTCTTCTAAAGGCAGAATACAGTACCCACTCTTATTTTTGTTGGGTGGACGGGTTCTACTAACATATGCTATTTTTATTTGAATGTTTTGTTATATTTTATTTTGGTTTTTGGGTTCATCCATTATATTTTTATATATTTTCATATAATTTTAAAAGAAAAAAAAAAGCAAAAATAGACATTTTGAACTTTTGAATATCATGGATCATTTTTTTGTAAAATCTCTGTGAGTGTGTAGTATTGTAGGATTAAATAGTGATGGATGAGTTCTGATGGTGAATGAGAAAATTGTAATAAATAAATGGGTCATGAATCTGATTAGCTAGGTCTAGGATAGAAACTGTTGACCAGCCTTACTTCATTTCCCCCTTGGCCTTGTGCCAAAATTGTTATACTTTATAATAATAAATAATCATTCCTACAGATTGGAACTAAAAGGATGAAGAAGCCAAAGACAGTGCCATGTCTGCTTATTTTTTTTTAAAGAAACAAGGAAAAATGGTGAAGAAAACCTAATGCAAAGAATGCACAACTCTATTTTGCATAGAATGCTTCAGAGAATATTATTCTGTTAAAAATATTCAATTTAGGCATCTAATATTTATTTTATTTCTTGATTTTTAGAATTTTATTTTTATTGTTTCTTTTTTACTTGAAACAATATTTCTAGTGCATTTGCTGTATTTGTTTATATAATTAAAGTGAAAACAAGAATAAAAACGAGGATATTTTTCTCTTCATTTTTATCTGTTCAGTCTGCACTTTTGTACAACCCCTTTTCCCACCATTTCAAGATGAAAAGAAGAAAGATGAACAAGAATTAAATAAAGAAATCAGAGCAGATGTGATGATGATGATTTTTGATTTCTCTCATGACCTGAGATCATTAAGGTGCCATATGCCGCCAAGGCAACACCCAATCCTGCCTGGCATTTTGGTCAAGAAAAGGTGTTATTTACTGATCCCTGTCATCTTTTTGAGTATCATAGAATGGAAAGTATCAAGTTACAGGATTGATTAGTATGAACAGAGGTCATTGGTAATAATAACCGGTCAGTACTGAACTTGATCTTAAGGTTCTGACATAATGTCCTTCTTGTCATTTTGTGGAATTACTTGGCTATCCTGATTTCTTTTCCATACAAGCAGTACTATTATGTGGGACTTATGCACCAAGAATCTCTGAAAAATGAATACTTTCCAAAATTCTGGTTTTATAAAGTCAAATAAGTATATAAAGGGTGCCGAAAAGTGTTAGATCCAAATCACTCTCAAAAATCAGTATTCCAATATTTGCTCATAGAAATATTGATTTTAGGAAGTGGGTTGGGCCAGGAATTTTTCAGCACCCCTCGTGTATATGTACATATTGATATCAACAGTCATTTACATATAAATTTCCATTGGTGCTGGCTTTGAACCATTCATTAAATTACATACACATATCCAAAGTTGACTCAACCAATTTAACAAGTGATTGCTTTTTGGTCCACTCATCTATCTTTAGCAACACCATTAATAGTTGCATTCCTGATTTATTCTTCCTTTGAATATATAAATACTAACAAGAAAAAGATTGACTTGAGTGGAGTCATTACGTTTGAAAATGGATCCACCAATATTAAGTAGCTTTTTAGAATCATTGAATAAGAGAAAAATGTATTAAACATCACTGTTATATGGCACTGTCTGAGGTGATGAAATAACTGTTATATGGCACTGTCCGAGATGACGAAATAACTGTTATATGGCACTGTCCGAGGTGATGAGGTAACTGATATGAACTATCCGAGCAAACTATGTAATATATGAATTTATGAAAACGAGTTGGATGCTTAAAATCTTTTAATTCCTCACTTTGTAAGAGCATCCTCAAAACAATTGGTCTTTGGGCCACATCACGCTGAAACACTGATTCTCATATGATCACTGAAGTTAAGCAGTGCCAAGCCTAGTCAGTACCTACATGGGTAACCACTTGGGAATACCAGGTGCTGTAAGCTTGGATGTGCAGGAGGTGTAATAGATAATGGCTTGGAATTGTTAATTGGACAGCCAAGTTCCAATTCTTGTTGGGTTCGTTAGATTCACTTAGGTGAAATACCCTTTGGAATAGTATGAATGCACCTCTTCTCCTCCCAGCTATGGGTTAATTAGTAAGACTTGGATCACTAAACCATTATTATCTCAAAAAAAGAATCTTACAATCTAAAAATATTTAAATAACTTGCAAAAGGTTGATAATCAGTAAAGAAACAAATCGATCAATACAATTGAGAAAACCTACAGAAAAAAATTGTTACGATAACAAGCTTGCCATTTAGAAACTTTGTGATTAATTTGAAAAAAATTTTAAGGTTTAATAAAATTTCAGAATATCAGTGAACAAGTAAAAGAAATTTGCCTAACAGAAAATATGTTAGGATAAAATGTAAATATGCTATTTGATATCAGGAAATGGAAGACAGTTATGTTGATAAGATATAAAACATGGATATTCAAAGCAAATAGTGAATGTTTATTATTAATTCAAATTATAATTTATTTTATTATTATTTTTTATATTATTATTATTATTATTTTAGGTGTTAAGTAAAATATGAAATTTAATCAAAAGTGATCATTAAAATCTTCAAGATGTTTAACCACATTTATTTTAATGTTATTTTCTTCTTAACGAGAAAAGGTGATATGTTATAAAACCTAATTCTTGGTTAATTAAATTGAATCGTGATATCACAGATGATTCAATAATTCTTGTAGATTATTTATAATGAATAAATTTAACCATTTTGTTGTTTTTAAATTTGAAAGGATAGTTTATACATTGTATATGAGAGAATAATGAATTTAATATATACCTTATGTTTATTGCTCGCTTGTGTTCATAAGTATGTTTTTTCATTTACTGCCTGGGATTATATATATATATATAGAAAATTATATGACATAGGGAAAAAAAAAGTTGTGATGTGTTTCATCCTTCAGGACATCATTGGACTTGTTATGTTAATAGGACTCTACATATGCGTATGACAGGGAGATGCTGGTCATTTCAGAATTATTTTATCTAGCCAAATTCATATATATAAACATTTGAATCATATTTTTTATTCCCTGTACAATCACCAAAGTTAAACAATGTTGATCCTGGTCAGTATCTAGATGGGTGACCACTTGGGAATACCAGGTACTGTAAGCATGGATGTGCAAGTGGTACAATGGATAATGGCTTGGAATTTGAAATCAGAGAACCAAGTTCAAATTAGGTTAGTCATATTTATTTATGTGCAAATACCCTTGGGATTGGTTGAATCAGCTTCTTCCCACTCAGCTATGGCTTAATTACTAAAACGTTTATCACTAAAACATTATCTCTTAAACAAAAAAAAAAATCTTACAAACCTGCAACAGGCTGATAATCTGTAAAAAATGATTGAATCAATCAATCATTCAGTATTTTTTATTCTTATTTTTTGTCATTAATTAATATCATTTATGGTAGATGTTGTTAAGAAGGTTTAATTGCAATGTCTTTGAGTTTATTGCTAATTATTTGAGTTGATGGATTTGTGGTTAAAGATAGAAATATTTAGTCATTTTTCTGATCAACATAGATAACATCTATCTCTGACTTTTGATAATTGATAGCAACAATGTTTGTTATAAATATGTATTGTGGTTGAAGTTTTTTTTGTTTTTTTTTTATAGCTGGTGTTTTTTTGTGCCATTTTAATAATTGCTTAGAAATAGTGGATTGTTGTTGCTGCATTTTCATTGTCAGATCATTTACTTTGTACTTGTTAATGTCAATACACTTCTTTAAACAACAAAATGGCCTTTGTTCTGGCAAGCAGTAAATAGCCTCTATCAAAGTTTGTAAGTTTATCTTTCATCCTTGCTTTGCATCAAGTCTGGTGCTTCTGCTATATATAAATATAAATACATACCAGAAGCACCAGTTCAGGACCATTAACATTGCAAACACTTCTTCAATCCTGAACTGACATCTTAACTTCTGTTACTCTCCCACTGTTATATTGTAGCTTCCTAGTGTTTTTTCTATGAATATTTTCATAGTAATTGTTCTGATAAGCTTTCGTCAATACCTAGATGATATTAATTTAAGTGCAATACTAGATTGGTGGCAAAGTTTCATCAAGTTACATTGAAATGGCTAGATGTAAGCATAAGTTCTATGCTAACACTTTCTTCTATCACACTTCTTGCCTGTGGAACTCTCTTCCAGCTTTTTGCTTTCTAGTCAACATTAATCTTCAAAACAATTTTAATCAATTCACCCCAAGCAAGGTAACAATTCAAGGGGCTACTGGAAGTGAAAGAGAATGAGAAAACTTTAGAAGGAATTGGAAACCCAATCCTAAACCTCTTTTCCTGTTCAAAAGACTAGGGACAAGTGCAGACTGGAATAAACAAATATGTATTCTAATAAATAATGATAATAAATCTTCTTTTGTTTATTGTCATTTTTCTAGTAAAATGGCTATCAATATAACCGTTAGTTCTATGCTGATAATTTTGCACTTCTTGCTGATGGAATTGCACTTCTTGCTGATGGAATTCTCTTTCGATTTCTTGCTTCCTCATCAACTTTGATGTTTAAATGCAATGTCAATCGTTATCTTCTATTTTCTTAATTCCTGTTCTTTTATTGTTTGCTCTCCATAACAGTGTTTTTTTTTTTCTCATATTCTCTAAATCTCATATAAACTCCTTAAAGAAACACCAGAGCAAACATAAACAGTTAGATAGCTAGCAAGTTCTCATTTTGCAGTAGAAATGGCTAAATGTAACCATTAGTTCTATGCTAACAATTTCTTCTCTCATGCTTCTCACTTGTAGAACTCTCATCTGGCTTCTTGCTTCCCAGTCAACTTTGATCTTCAAAAACTGTCAATCATTATCTTCTGTCTTCTTAATTCTTGTTCTTTTATTGTCCTCTCTCCTTAATAGTATTTGTTTCATATTTGCTAACATTCAGTAGCCCCTTACATCATAATGGCTTTATTCTATTGGCTTGGTGTGAAATAATGAAAAAAAAGACAAAACAAGTTGGCTATTAATATTATAATATTACAGTTGTTGTCCTTTGTGCATCTTTTGTTGAAGGCATGAAACACATTTTCTTTATATACAGCCATTTTATGTGAGTATTCTTCATTCAGAGAACCAAACTCACATATTTGAATTATCTTGGTTCTTTCATAATTTCTGATTGGACAATTCTGTCTGATTACAATGCTACAGTGAAAGTGGGAATTGTTCTCCCAAGCATTGAAAAGAATTACTATACTGAGGCAAAAATACAATGTTGGCAGCCTAAAACTCCTGAAGTATATATCAAAGACAATTTTATTTGTGTGCTTAAACATTTGAGAACTTTTAGAATCCATGTATTTTTCCAAGGATTTCTTGTTTTAAGGTGTTTTCACATAATTTTGAAAGTTGAGGAGTCAATGCTTTCTCCAAGTCAATTAACCATTTTGTTAAAAAGGTGATGGATGTATTCCAGTAAAAACACAACTTGAAATAATCAATAGTTTTTGTAGAAAGAAACACCTCAGACATTTCCAAGAGATTTCCCTTCAAAAAAACAAAACAATTTTACAGTTACAACTCAGAAAAGGCTATACTGGCTTGATGCCATTTTAACAAGATTTCGAAAAAATGTGAAATTTGTGCCATATATTTTCTTTTTGTTTTAAGTGTGTTCTTTCATCCATTATTTGGGATATTATTCGTTTCTTTTTGAAACATAATCTGAAGTGTTAAATTAAAATCAGTTAACAGAATATTTTTCGGTGGTGTTACCACTAAATGCCAGCAATGCCAAGATTCCTCACTTTGCGAACTCAATAATGTTGCACGTAAACTAAGGAAAAAAAAATATTATATAGGGATATTTCTTTGCCTTCAAAATTTTAATATCTATCACTCTATCCTTGTTGTTAGATTAAAGTTACTTTTGGACTCATAAACACGCCCCCCCCCCCCCGGGCGGTACATCCCACCCCCATTTTGAAATTTACAAAATTAATGCAGTTACAGAATATTGAAAAGAAAGAAGAGAAATGTGAGAGATATTTTGTTTGGTCTGACAGAAAAATAACAATATTATCCACAGTAGTACTACTAGTATTATCAGGAGTAGAACTTATTCTGATAACTTCACATTTCATAGAGGGCAGGACTTTATGCACAAATCTGCATTGACATCTACAATCGCACACATTTCTATTCTAAAATATTTAGTTAACATATCAAGTAATATAACAACCTACCACTATTTTGTTTCTAATTTTCATTAGTTACCATACCAATGTCATTAGTTCTCAACTTGCTATCTATTCTGGTAACACAATTATTCTCACTGCTGTCTCAATGGTAAGTTTGATAGGTTCAATAAGGTCAAATTGGCAGCTGATATCAAAAATGACCTTCAACCTGCTGTAAACTGGAAACTAATTTACCTGTTGATTTTAATACCTCCAAAATGAAACTACTCTCTGTTCATCATCTGAGAGAGCACTCTCTCCCTTCCGTCAGCATGGCTGATACAAACCTTCAGGAAAGTGACTGATTGTGCCTTCTCTGGCTAACATTTTCCACTAAAATGAAGTGGAAAGATTATATTGAATCAATTGCTAGGTCAGCTGCTAAGAAAGTTGGTTTACTCTGTTATGCTAGACAATTTTTCTCTCCAGAATCTCTCTTAAAGATTTATAAGTCTACCATTCATTCATTCTTTGAATGTTACTGTCAAATTTGGTTAGGTGGTTCTACAATATATCTAGATATTCTTGAAAAATCTTAAGTAGAATTTGCAAAATTATTGATCCTGACCTGGCATCTCAACTTCAGTTACTTTATCACTGTCATAATCTAACATCCTTGCACTTTTCTATAAATATTTTCATGGTAGTTCTGATGAGATTTCCTCTTTGATATCTCAACTTCAGAAATTTAAGTTCAGTACTAGATTGGCTGCTAGGTCTCATCATTTTAAAGCTGAAATTGCTAGATGGGACCATAAGTTCTATGCTAACAGCTGTTTTCTTGTATTCCAGTCAACTTTGATCTTCCAAAATTTAAATACAATTTCAACCATCATCTTCTGCCTCCTTAAAGCCTGTTCTTCTATTATCCTCACTCCTTAATAATGTTTTTTTTCTCAGACTCTTTCAGTTACTGTGTCTTAGTGGCTTTGTCACCTTAATTAGGATGAAATGATTTAAAAAAAGATATGTATAATTACAAAAATTTACATTCCATCTATGGGGTTATTATGGGTACTTTGTAATAGTTTAAGGGTTAATGAGCTAGTTTGGTTGACCATCAACCACTCAATAAGCAGTGTGGTTCTCAATAGATACTCCACATGTAAAGAAAATACAGACAATAACTACTAATAATGGTACCCCCCCCACCGCTATTGGTCAAAGAGACAACATTTAGTGCGCTGTCCTTGTAGAATGACAACACATGGGATTGTCTGGTTATAAATAAGAAAGTGTTTAACTGCTTCCTCATGCAATAGGGTAGGACTGTGAGCTGAGTGGTGTTAGCTATGCAGTTGATTACTTTTGCTAACCAACCACTAAATTTTTAGATTCCAAAAAAGTAGATACATTTTCTGGGAAGAGGGAGAACTTGCAAATTATGCTGCATTGACCACACAGTGGGATTGTCATGTGTTACAAAGGATTTTTGTTCATGTCACCCAGTGTCATTTCAAATTCATTCATTGTTGTTTGTGTTTCTAATGTCTCAGGAGCATTTGTCCTGTATGTGGGATGTTCTTATATGGATGTCTCGTCTGTGCTTTGCTTGTCGTGAGCCACTGTTTAATAAGTTTTCTATCCCTCTTTCTTGACAAATACCCCCCACACACACACCAATAAGAAGAAAATCTCCTCAGTGGTCCTGTGTCAAACTAATGTTAGTAAATACTAACAATGGTGTTGTTACAGATGGGATATACTGTAACTTCATATTTCTTCTCTATAAATTCATCAGATTACATGTCCTGGGTATGACAACTATATCCAGCAGCAAGTTCTCTGAGCAAGAGAGAGGAGGTTTTGGTATGAGTGGAACCACCTCTTGATGTCTGTTGTTCCCAGGTTCACCCCTGACCTGGAGTGTTACCACCTGTTAGGATCCCAGCTATGGACAAATGGTGACCCCCACTCCAAAAAAAGCAAAACTATGAACATATAAAAACTGATTTCTATAGTAAAATTACAAACAATACCTATTTATAGTAGAATTACCAACAGTACATTTTATAGCAATGTGACTAACAGTACATTTTATCTGTAGTTGAAGGCATACAGTTGCATTCAAAACATTTTGTATTAAAAATTGTATTCAAAATATTTACATTTCAGCATTAAATAACCCATAGAGGTGTTGATATGCCATGAAACAAAATCGACCAATTATGTGATTAAAAATCTTAAGAAAAAACACTTTTAATAAGTTATCAGTAATAAATGTAATACAATTAATTTTTAACTTATATCATTTTGCTACTTTCAGTTTCACTTTCATATTGATGTTACATCACCAACTTTTATTAAATCCATTCATAAAGAATTTAACATGTTTATTTACCGCAACTGTTGTTTATGTAAAAAGTCTCCAAATCAGCATGTGGCCAAGTACCAAATATAAATAAGGCCTATTAGGCAAATAAAAATTATGATTCACTTACATATATTAAGCAATATTTACGTTTTTTTTTTCCATTAGGCTTGCAATCTGTTTCGTTTTTGGAGCTTCAAAAGGATGCATCATCAATCCTTGAGTTCAGAATGCCATAAATTATTCTAACACTGCTTAACAAGTCAAATGCTTGTGAAGCCTGCTTAACCAATCAAAATCAAATAACATAAACACAAAAATACCAGAATTTCCTTGTTTTTCATATCTCATTCTTTGATGAAGCTTTAATAAAAGTGAAACATGTTAGATTGAAAACATTTGTTATCTATTCTATCATTCTGTTATATTCTGATTTTTATTTAATTTGTATTTGATACCAATTCAAATCTATGTCTCTACACGTAACTACATTTGCAAATAAAAGTTTTCTATTGTCATCAATATATATATTTCTTTCTTTTCCAAGATATTTCACTCTTTGTTTTTGTATGTTGCACATACTGAGAAAACTTTTCTGAACAAGTTCTATAATAATTCTCATGTATTTTAGGCATATATATATATATATATATATATATTATATGCACAGTATTTAGTGGAAAGTGCTCCATATCAGTGATACAGCTAACATAATAAGATGATGATTGCAAAAGCATGAAACACAGGGTCACAAAGCCATATATGTACAACTTATATATAGTTTTCATTGTACATTTTAATGAAAACATGCAACTTAATCATTCAACTCTGAGTTTGTTTTTTTTTTGTCAAATATTATCAGCCAGTAGGTGTATTGTTTTGGGGAATTCTCCAAATGCAGATTCTGCATTTATTCTAGGATCTAAGAGCCACTCTTCCCTGTTGTGTGGGTGTTTATATATCTACTTGCCATACAGTTTTTCCCACATATGTACAGCCAAGATGCAGCTGTGTCAACCACTTGTTTACATGTCAGGAACAGCTACTTACATCAAGTGAAACACACATCTGCACCTCTGGGCTAGTTGGACATCTTTCAAATCAATCCACGAATACACCTGACTTCTCTAAAGAGTAAGCATTATACGGAGTGTAAAGTCCATTTTGGCATGAGCCACATACATGTACATATATTGGGACATATGTAACTTATCTATGCACACACAGTCATACATATCTAAGTATTTATTTATATTAAGAGAAAGAAAAGCTAGTTCCATCATTGACTGATGAGACCCTAAATTTTTATCTATTCTGATGAATGTTGTGTTCCCCTCAAGAAGGCCCTGTGTATTGAGCACCTACTGAGACTTAAAATGAAACCAGACCCTCAAGTGGAACTCATACATACAAACTTTTACTAAAGATACTGGGAAAAATATTTGGTTCCTTGTATTGCTTCAGTTAGTACCTGATTCCTACTGCTATCCTCTCCATTTACAAGAGCCAGATTAGGCTGATGTAGCAAATGAGTCGACTTAAACAGTGTAAGGGACGCAACTCTTTCCGTCTGAAAATGTCTGCAACATAAAAACGATGTACACCAAGCACGGGTGAAATGTTGGTCTGCCAATGTCTCCAAGCAACCTGCTTTTATGGAGCCCAGACACACCTCATTAGCATGTGTGTAACGCGACTTTTGCGTGACTGCACGAGACCGTGAATATTAAAAGTCACGGACGCCATTTTGAATCTTTTCTTTCCTTTCTCAACCCACAGGCCAGGAAGATGCGAGAACGTTTGCGAGGTAGGCCGTTTCTATTTTCCCCACACTCCCCCTGATCTCATGATCACAGAGTTGACAGGGAGGTGGTGATCGTTTGCGCCGGGTACTTCTTCGAAGAGGGACGCTGCGAGCCTCATCGTTGCTTGTGCTCCTGTCTGAGGTCTGAGGGTCGAAAGACACCGCGTCCCTTGAAGGCTACTGATATCCGAGTCACTGCCTGATGGGGCTGGCGTGAACCAGAGCGATGCCTCACTGGTCTCAGATTCCGATTCGCTCTCATCGTCCAGCGGTGGTTGCAACTGCGTCGACGGACGCAGGTCCTTAACGTGTTGGGGCACACCGTCGACCCGTACCGCCTGTGGGCTGATCACCTCAGTGACGCGTCCGATTCCGTATTTCGTGGTGCACTTGCTGTGCGGATTTTTTAATCCAGGCGACATCGCCTTTCTTCAGCCTCTCTCCGGTTACTTTCAGTTCCGTCAGTGGGTTGGTTTCTATGCCCCTTCACTCTAACGTGGTACCTATGCAATGTGTCTGCTGGCGCCGTAGAGGGTGAGACATCATCCTTCGGGGTCACGTTGTATAAGTAGACCGCCTCAGACACCGTGCAGCCCGTCCTGGCTGCGATGGTCTTGACGGTCCTGTGGTTCCGCTTCGATGATTCCATTTCCACTCGGTACGCATTGGGCGCACCGGAACCGTAAAGTGCACTCCCAGCCATCCGCAAACTTCTCGAACTGCTCGCTGGTGAATGCGGTGCCATTGTCGGTTAATATCTCCGTTTGGGGGCCACGTTCAAGAAAGATG